AAACCTTGTCGAAACGTTGTACATTTGCTGTTATGTTAAACTTATATTAAAGTTTTTCTTCATTACCCATTCAAGCCGTCTCCAGCCACTATTAGTCTCAAAGTGGGTTCCTCGTCACCGAATTTGAAACCTTTATTAAGTACGGCCTATATTCAATAAAAATATAAATTAACACTATAATATGTGTACGTTTTTTTCTGCTTTAGTTTTGTTAGGGTTAAACTTTACCGTACTTGATACAATCAATAAATAAACTTATAATGTTATTTTACGATCTAACGTTAGGCCTTTTTAAAAACTGATAAGCTTTTAACATGTTGTACAAAATGTCTACTAAAGTATATTTACATCCGTTGAAATTAAGTGCCCCCCCCCAGTAGCACAGCGGTATGTCTGCGGACTTACAACGCTAGAATCCGGGTTTCGATACCCGTGGTGAGCAGAGCACAGATAGCCCTTTGTGTAGCTTTGTGCTTAGTTACAAAAAAAAATGAAATTAAGTACATGCGCATGCAGATAGTAAAGTGCGTGCGCATTTTCAGGACAGACAAAAACTGAGTATTATTATAATAGAGAAGTAAGAGGTCTAATTCTAAATAGTACCTGACCCTCTGAGGACTCGCACAACACGACCAAATACTGACTAAGAAAGATGCAAGATTATAATAGATTCGCTCCAAAAATATTTGTACCCACAGGAAGAACTTACAATACGAAAAATTTGATAAAACTTCTAAGTTCCGGAAACTTTTTTCTTCAGAGGGACTATTATATAGCTTAATTATATGATTGACTGAACTTTATCAGAACCTGATTATGAAATACATTTAAAATAGAAAACGAGTAATTCAGAACCTTTAAATTAGAATAACATTTTACCATAGCCTACAGTTATAAAATAACAAAAATACAAAAACACTTTGTGGTATCATAATTTTATACAGTGTCAAAGATAGAAGGACATTTTATGATAGCCATAATATTATGAAATATCAAAAATGGAAGAACATTTTATGCTAGACAGTCTTTATAATACCAGGGATAAAAAAAAGGCTTTACTGCAGTCATAGAGGTTTATATGTAATGCCAGAAATAGGAAAACGTTTTACGGTAATCATAGGGCTTTAGATATAGTTCCAAGATTAGGAAAATATTTTCATGTAGTCATTGGTTTTATATAGTACCAAGAATAGGAAACTTTATTGTAGTCATAGAGCTTTATATGTAATACCAGAAACAGGAAAACAATTTGGTATAGTCAATGGGCTTCTTTATTTTGTATGAGGAATATTAAAACACTTTACTGTAGTTATAGGACTTTCTATATTACCAAGAATACGAAAATATTTTACTGTAGTCATAGTGCTTTATTTATAGTACCAGAAATATGAATACTTTATAATTTAGTCATTAGGCTTTTTACATAGTACCAAGAATAGGAAAACACCTTACCATAGTCATAGGGCTTTTTATACAGTATCAAGAATAGGAAAATGCTTTGCCATAGTCATAGGGCTTTTTATACAGTATCAAGAATAGGAAAACACCTTACCATAGTCATAGGGCTTTCTATACAGTATCAAGAATAGGAAAATGCTTTGCCATAGTCATAGGGCTTTTTATACAGTATCAAGAATAGGAAACACCTTACCATAGTCATAGGGCTTTCTATACAGTATCAAGAATAGGAAAATGCTTTACCATAGTCATAGGGCTTTTTATACGATATCAAGAATAGAAAAATACTTTACTGTAGTCATAGGTATTTATATGTAATACCAAAAATAGGAAAACATTTGACCATTGTCACAGGTCTTTCTATACAGTATCAAGAATAGGAAAACGCTTTACTGTATTCATATATACAGTGTTTTTGAAATACCATTTTATGGTAGCACAGTATTTAGCATACAGGGCATAGGAAAATATTTAGGGTAGTTATAGTGTTTTAAAGTATCTGACATAGTAAAAAACTTACGACAAAGATACTGTTACACAGTCCCTTGGATAGAATGATATTATATTATGATAGTGATAGTATTTTTCTGTATGAGGAATATACGTACGCTTTATGTGAGCCATAGTGTTTTACAGCTGCAGGGGAAAAAGTTTGAGATAGTGTTATATACTGCCAGAAATAAAACGTTTATGGTAGCCATTGTTACATAATACCAAAGATAGAAGAGTCGACATGCATAATACTTTAATACAGAAGATATAAGAACATTTTGTTTGGTTGTACGAGGTATGGATGGAGACTTTATGGTAGAAATAGTGCTATGCAGCATCATAAGTTTAATAAAATGTTATATACAAGAAAGAAGAACATTTTATGGAAAACCAGGTAGCCATGGTTTTATTCAATATTAAGGATAAAAAATACTTTATGGTAACGGTAGAAGAACATTTTATGGAAAAACCATGTAGCCATAGTTTTATTCAATATTAAGGATAAGAAAGCACTTTATGGTAAGGGTAGAAGAACATTTTTTGGTACATATAATGTTATATAGGAGCAAAGACGTACTAAACAATATTATAGTCGATATAGTGTTATATAGAATAACACTTATGGTAAAAATACTATTATACAGATCCAAAAAAAAAAAAGACGTGTTATGAGAACTATAGATTCAGCTGTATTAAAATCTATTATAGTATAAGCACTAGTGTTATATAGTTCCGAAACTACCAAGAAGTTTTATGGTAGGCATAGTGTTCAGTACCAAATATAGAAGGACCCTTTATGGTAAACGTTGTGTGTTGCAGCACCAAAAACAGGAGAGAATAGTCATATTCTGTATCAAAAATAGAATAACATTTTATGGTAGTCATTTTAGTTTAGGTATAGTGTTTAACAGTACCGATGTTGTACAATAACAAAACAAGATATGTTTATTTACGTGCAAGACCGTTTTTTTACAGCTACAATAAGTTACCAAAATATAAATTGTGGTTTAAAGCTTTGAACTAGCTTTGGTATAATAATTTATAATTTATTTCTTGCTGAACGTCTGAAAATAATGTAAGATCTTTACACGTAGAAAATTTGGGAGTGGAAGATACTTGGTTGAAAATTTAGTTTTTATTATTTGAAATTTTAAGAAATCTGACTTAATTTATTTCCAATAAAAAACGCCGTTTTTCTGTTAACTGATTTTTTTGGAGTGTCGTATCTACTGCAAGTTTTTCATAACAGCTGTTAACGACCACGTTGCTTTGAATAAGACAGATAATTAAACTAAGTGTGGTGTTTCATTTCCAGCTGGGAATTTGAAATTACATGTCAGAAGTTTTGTTCGCAGATAAATTAATCTGCTTGAAAGTGTTTGTTTGCGAGCTTTCTGCTTGAAGCCGCGTGCGAATCTCGTGTCGTGAGGCGCTGACATGGACTCGTGCTGCGCTAAGCAACGTTATCGAATGGCCGTAATTTTTGGTCTGTCAACAGATAATTGATTTGCAGGCAGGCGCTGGGAGCCGATTTGATCGTTGTTGCTGACACATTATCTTGTAGCGCTTTAGCCCAACTGTAGGGCGGAGCGGACCAATAGGCGGTCTCTAGCCAGCAACCAGCGGTATTTAGAAAGATTAAAATGCAATTGGTATGTGTGGCTAGCCATTTCCCTACGTCGTGAAGCAACAATAAGGCGTTAGCCAAGTGGGCCAGTGAACTTTTAGGGAGACTCTGTGTATGGAGTCCGGATGGCCTCGCCGAAGTTCGCCGACACCACTAAGTCCTTCTGTATCGAGGCTTTATTAGCACGGGACGATCCTGTTAAACCTCCTGTTTCCAGTCCGAACCTGTACCGGCGATCTGAGTTGCAGCAGGGGTCGCAGGTGGGTCTGTCAAGTACTAGCAGTGTCTGCAGCAACTCAATTACTCTCTGTCCTTCTAACAGTCCTATAAGTCAGCCATCTCGGGCCAATATCATGAACCTTGCTTCCCTAGCTCTGCCCCTGACAGGGACCTATACGAACAGTCATATGGCCGTTCCCATCTTCTCTCCGCACCCCCTCTACGCTTATAGCGGCCACGGTTCACTCGGCGTACATCCTGCCTCCATGCCCGTCCTAGGCGGCAGCGCCTTTCACCCACCATCCGCTGCAGTCACTGCTGAACAGTCACTGACCGGACTGAAGTCTGGACCATTGCCGGTGGAGTGGTTTGCTCGGGCCGGCGTTTTCTACCACAGGCCCGGAGATATCACAGGTAAGATAACACAATCTGTTGTTATCGCTACTGGTCTAAGCGCGAACAGATGTGTAAATATCGCAACCCAGATTCACACCTTGCTGTTTAGGACCTTATACACAAATCACTATGTAATTTGTTTGCATTTCTTTCATTTCATTTTGCTTTTTCATCTTGATATCTTTTTATTTTCTGAAAATAGTTTAAAAAAAATTCTCGCATTTTTTAAAGATTGTGCTTAGCACATTTTTAGCACATATGAAGTAGCCACTATTCATTACTTTTTGCACATGCGTATATTCAGCGATTTAAAGACGACTTCGTTATGAATATATGCTCACTTGTCACAATAAAAATCACACTTGTTATGTGGATATTACGCACACAGAACAAAGTTATTGTATAAACACTATACACATAGAACAAAGTTATTGTACAAACACTGTACACATAGAACAAAGTTACTGTATAAACACTGTACACATAGAACAAAGTTATTGTATAAACATTATACACAAAGAACAAAGTTATTGTATAAACACTATACACACATAGAACAAAGTTATTGTATAAACTCTATACACATGGAACAAAGTTATTGTACAAAAAATGTACACGTAGTACAAAGTTATTGAACAAACACTGTACACATAGAACAAAGTTATTGTATAAACACTGTACACGTAGTACAAAGTTATTGTATAAACACTATACACATAGAACAAAGTTATTGAAGAAACACTGTACACGTAGAACAAAGTTATTGTATAAACACTATACACATAGAACAAAGTTATTGTATAAACACTGTACACGTAGTACAAAGTTATTGTATAAGCACTGTACACATAGAACAAAGTTATTGTATAAACACTATACACATAGAACAAAGTTATTGAAGAAACACTGTACACGTAGAACAAAGTTATTGTATAAACACTGTACACGTAGAACAAAGTTATTGTATAAACACTGTACACGTAGAACAAAGTTATTGTATAAACACTATACGCATAGAACAAAGTTATTGTATAAACACTGTACACGTAGAACAAAGTTATTGAACAAACACTATACACATAGAACAAAGCTATTGTACAAACACTATATACACAGAACAAAGCTATTGTATAAGCATTATACACACAGAACAAAGTTATTGTAAGTACTATATAAACAATGTAGTCATTGCAGGTGTGCTACCGATGTAGTGTCTTCATTATGTATATACTATATATACAATGTAGTCATTGCAGATATGCTACCGATAGTGTATCTATTATGTAAATAATATATAAACAAGTTAGTCATTGCAGGTGTGCTACCGATGTAGTGTCTTCATTATGTATTTATTTACATAATAGATACACTATCGGTAGCATATCTGCAATGACTACATTGTATATATAGTATATATATAAACAAATTAGTCATTGCAGGTCAGCTACCGATGTAGTGTCTTCATTATGTATGTATTATACAAACAAAATAGTCATTGCAGATATGCTACGGAAACAGTGTCTGACACATTGTATTTACGCATACCTCAGTCATTTCACAAACAATATAATTATTATATACAAATAATGTAGTAATTATTGAAGTATAATGTATATGATTTAAACATTATAGAGATACAACATACTAATTATGTACAGACTACATCTAATATAATCATTGTTGAAGTACAATATACACACATAAATGGTTCACATCATGATAGTTATTCATAAAAATTAATTATATATATATATATATATAGCACTTAGAGCACTACTTTTCGGTCATATACCATCCAGTCTGGCGAGCCCCGGTATAAGGCGAAAGGCCTCGTCGGCATTGGATATTGCAGCTGCAGTGTCGTTGATATATTATAATACATTCTCCATTGTTTTCTCTCGTGGGTTGTTGGAACACACAAAATATTTACAAAGTACGTATTATATAGTCTCCGTGTGTATTTATATCTAACTTTTACTGTAAACGTGGCGTGAAGTTAGTAAACTTTATGCATGATGTATCTAACTGTAACTGTAAGCTGTTTTCTTTCTTACTGTTTATTAAGGGAAATATTTAGTTTTCATCCCTATGGTGTAAAACATTACAGTGGAAATACTGCACACATATCAAAGTTTTCAAAAACACAAAGGCAGCAAAGTAAAATAGGGTAAAGAAAGTGAATTGTGTAATAGGAATGGGTAGTGATAATTTTAGTTCTCAAGTTAGGGCGAAGCTATATTCAGTAATTTACTTTCTTTGTTTTTACTACCTAGTTGTCTTTTTCTTCTTTCAGCTTATTAGCGTTTTTTTATTAGTTACATTACACAATATATATTTCAGATGAATTCGATATTAAACTACTTATAATTTGTTTATGATTGATACTTGAGTGTAAGAAATACAAAATAGAATTTGTATCAAAACTGAGTATATTAGATGGACTACATCTGGAATAATGGGGAAAAAATTAATTTTTTAAGCCTCAGCCAACATGTTACAAAACAAGATGTTTGACAAGAGTAAATATGCAAAGTTGTTCGTCAAGGTTAACTGTATATATATATATACACAAACAGATTTACCCGACAAGAATAACCATACAAGAAAAATTAAACAAAGTTACCTGCTACGAGAACTGTACTAGTTAGCATAGATAAAGAGTAGCCTGATAAACAAAGTTACCCGACAAAAGTAACCTTGTCAACAAAGTTACCCGACAAGAGTAACCTTGTCAACAAAGTTACCTGCTACGAGAACTGTACTAGTTAGCATAGATAAAGAGTAGCCTGATAAACAAAGTTACCCGAAAAAAGTAACCTTGTCAACAAAGTTACCAGACAAAAGTAGCCTGATAAACAAAGTTACCCGACAAAAGTAGCCTTATAAACAAAGTTACCTGCTACGAGAACTGTACTAGTTAGCATAGATAAAGAGTAGCCTGATAAACAAAGTTACCCGACAAAAGTAACCTTGTCAACAAAGTTACCCGACAAGAGTAACCTGATAAACAAAGTTACCTGCTACGAGAACTGTACTAGTTAGCATAGATAAAGAGTAGCCTGATAAACAAAGTTACCTGCTACGAGAACTGTACTTGTTAGCATAGATAAAGAGTAGCCTGATAAACAAAGTTACCTGCTACGAGAACTGTACTTGTTAGCATAGATAAAGAGTAGCCTGATAAACAAAGTTACCTGCTACGAGAACTGTACTAGTTAGCATAGATAAAGAGTAGCCTGATATGTGGTTACTGTTACCAACTAGCTAACTTTGTTTCTTTGGTTACTTTTGTCAGGTAGCTTTATTGGTTACTATTGTCGGATGACATTATTGGTTACTTTTGTCAGGTAACTTCATTGGTTACTCTTGTCGGATGACATTATTTGTATCGTCATTCTTACCGAGTAACTTTGTTTATCAGGTTACTCTTGTCAGGTAACTTTGTTGACAAGGTTACTTTTGTCGGGTAACTTTGTTTCTTGTCAGGTAACTTTGTTTTATAACCATATAAACAAAGTTACCCGACAAGTATAACCATATAAACAAAGTTGCATGACCAGAGTAATCATACAGAGTTAGCTGACAAAAGTAACCATACAGAATTACTCGACAAGAATAACCATACAAACAAACAATATAAAGTTACTTAACCAGAGTATCTGCATAAACAAAGCTGCCTTAGTTAACCACACATAGAGTTGACCGCCAAAAGTAAATATACAAAGGACATTCCTAAAGAGTATCCACATGAGCAAAGAACCACATAAGCAGTGGAAAATAAGAGTAACCACACACGCAAACTATTTATTAAATGTTATCATACAATTAAAACGCCTAGAACAGTAATCATAGAGAGTGACTGAGAAATATAACCAATTTACTTCAGGTTTATTACTTCACATTACAAGCTAATCTTGAGAACTAATACTATTAATATCGCACAGACTCCAGAAGTGTGATTGGTTCCCATCAATAAATTAACCAACAACATTGACCTATTGTATAGGAGTAATCTAAAAACAGAGCGAGAGAGAGAAACGTGAATAATGAAGTGCTATATATTTTAAAGGTTCATCAGTATTTGATAGCCACGGTTTAAACAACCAACCAATAGGCTTGTTAACTACAATATCTATTGTTTCACTGTCCATTACAATTCTTTTTTTCTCGCCTTTACAATCCCACATTTTGTTTTAAGCCTTTGATAACAGAGCTGATAAAACGATATTCACTTGTATTACTTCGTACTAACGTGGATTAACGGTAAGCTTGAGGGCTTATAATGCTAACGTTCGATCTCTAAGTTGAATATATTTGTTTTTAAACTAATGAATAAACAAATGTAGATTTATTAGTATTGCAGTGTTTGATAAACCAACTATGAAAGAAACAATATTTTGGTTTCACTTTTAATAATTAAAATGATAAATTTGGCAAAGCAAAGAAAGAAAAAAAAGACTTTTTTGAACTCATAAGTTACAGATAATTGTGTTTGTTTACAGATGTTTAATACAGTCGTCTTCGTCAGTTCATTACAGTTATCTGAAATAATAACGTATCAAATTTATCTTTCGTCTGCCATAAATCACCACCCAGAAAGACCTTCGTTCAATACGGATGTTACTTAAACACTTCTGGTTTACTGTCTGTAATATAGTTACACTTCTGGTTTACAGTCTGTAATATTGTTACAATATCTGCACGATCATACGTGATTTCATTTATTAAGCCTGGAAAACAAGAACTGAAATATAATTAACATACGTATCTATACAGAGTATCAATGATATCCCTGCCTAAACAAGAAATTGTTTACTTAATCATTTCCACCATAAATCTTCATTAATCTGTTGACACTGAATTAAAGATGGTGGTTAACCTTCAAAATGTTGGAGGATTATGTTGAAGATTTTTGTTCTTGTAAATGTAATGTTCTCTAACCCATATGCATTATATAGAATTTAACGATATAAGTTGTTACCAGTAATCTCGAATAGTTGACGTTGGTCTAATTGAAG